CTTTATTTTTTCCCCATTCGCTCAAATTCATTGCGGGCACGTTCCTTTAATCTGTTGACTTGGTTTTTACAACGGTGACAAGACAGAGCGCTTCACCAGTGGGTTTGTGCATATTATATGTGAGCATAATCTCCGGTCATGAAATTATTTCGACAGTTCATAGTAAATACTGCGCAAGTTAGTCATGACTGCCTGAAAAGACTGCATCCTCATTTCTACAGTTCTAATTACCCCCAAATGCCAGGTTAAAAGTCCTCGTGCTCCCAGTACTTCCTAACCGTATTTGTCCCACTTGCCGTGGTTTGTTTTCGTTCATTTTTTTGTGCTTGTACCTGTCCTATCTGCTCAACCAAAATTTTCGTGTGGTGTCTGGGATGTTTTCGTTGCCGACGGAAGCCCCGACAATCGTACGACTTGTTTGTCCCAGCCTGCCTGCACCGCTTTGGTCCGTTGAACAACTATGATAATGCAGCCGTAGCAAGATAACATATCTATTAGCAGGTCAAGGTCACCATGTCATAGTGTCCCGTCAGACTCTGCTTACAGTTGCATGTAGCATGGTTTTGTCATGTCTGACCTATCTGATGCCAGCGACGCTGTGTGCAGTACTTCAAAACGCTCGACGATTATCGGGGTAACCTTAACGCGTTTGACTTCCTCCTACCCAGTGGTAAACCGAAAGCCTAGGAATATGTCATGTCTGGACGAACGGCGTCGGGCCAGGTTGTGAGCCGATCTATTGGCTGTCTCTATTTGGTCAGCGACGTCAACTTCTGCCGTCCTTCTTGGTTGGCCGAAGAAATTCACGTAGTCACAGCGAGTACTTGTACGGCTGCGATCATGACTGATCTGGATAGCCTCGAGGATGTCCTGAACTGTACCTCTCTGCTTGTGATGATCCGCGGCATCAGATTTGTCGCAACGAGTGCAGACTCGCATTCGAGTGGAAGTTGCTGTACATCACTCGAGGGACCATTATCAACAAAAGGTGGGAAATAACCTCCAGTTTTCGCCTTTATTTCATCCCCGAAACACGCCATTCACAACAGACATGAAAAAGTGACTGACGGATAACCCATACACGCGGGCCTTCATGACGGTTAAAATATCGCGACGGGAACTTGCACACCTTAATAGAGTTCAGACCCCTCCCCCCGTCGACTTGGACGACGATGTCTCAGCTTCTCCTTCAGTTTGGTAACTGCTTGTCCATGGTATTATTTAGACGGTCCACATATAATTATGGCCGCTAATCACGAGGGATGCCTTTCGCCGATTGGATCTGCAGCCCAAACATATCCTGTTTTTGGCAGCATTGATGGATAAATCGACTGCGTTGTCGATCTCGTTCACCAGATTTATTCATCATTGTTTAACAGTAATATGGCAATATTGTTTTGCTGAACTGTGCACATGCCCGTTATTCGGCAACTCGCGCCTGATATTTAACCACGGCGACGGCAATAATCGAACGTGGGGGATTTGCCAGACGCGTCTACTCTTATGGGTGGCAGTAATCCCCAGTCTCACCAGTGTCCCATGAAAAAGACAACGACGAACTCGCGAATAGTAATCTATCTCTTTTGCCAGTCACTTTGCTGCGCATCTACCACAAACTGGCTGCTAAACCTACTCCACCTTTTCAACGTCCGATTAGCTCATATCCTTTCGTAAAGATGGTTGCATGTCAAGCAACATTGAGATGTTCTTTAAATGTTAACACCCGATCCCCCTCGATGACGACGAAAGTTTCACCCATCGAGCTCACAACTTTGGGCTGTAGAGTTGGGGAAAGTAGCGTTACAAGGCCGTCCAGGATGAGTTCAGAAAACGGTCAATCGCTTTCTGGGCATTTCACCTGCTCGTTTGTTGCATCACATGTCCAGTGATTGTTAGTACAGATACTCGGCAATTGGGCGATTTCAGTCCAGTAGTAATTCGATGGTCATGACCGCGATATCCCAGGAAATGTAAGTAAACGGGGGCGTGTCGCTAGAAGATATTACGGCCTCACGTGACAGGAACCCGGACCCTTTGGGCTTTTTGGGCGCGACGCACTCCCATCCACTCAACAATGGCAAACCTTTGTCCCTCGAGAGGCCTCTGTACTTGCTTTATGTTACGTCGGCCACTGCGTTCAATCTTGTTTCCAGGCAGCTTGACGCCAATTTTGTGCTGAATTACGTCTTTCTAGCCTGGGTCTCACGTTTAGTTTCCCCACTGCAGCGTGACCGGACGCGCCTCTTATCTAATACGAGCCGCTCGTCCCCTCTGTGCGAAACCCTGGCGTCGCGTGTGGGGTATCAGGTCGTGTGTGTGGCACTCACGAACAGGCTGATTTTAGCTCCGCCAACCACTAGGCCCGATGCCCGCTTCAAACAATTGGCCGGCTCGGACCGTGGACTGGTGTCTAAAATAGGGTAGAGAGAGCGAGGTCGACTGTCTCAGCGCATATTCCTCACTGTAAACAACATAACGTGCTTGGATCTATCACGAGGCACTGGAAGTTGTGGCTTGTAAGACTGCCGACTGACATCCTAACTTGGTCCTCGGACGGAGAGTCGGGCTGCAGTGGCTCCTTCTTAACGTGACCTTTGTGGCATTCCCACGTAGATTTCGAGCCGCCCCCTTTTCTCGTCGTATAAAACCCCGGTCAGTTGTTGGACTCGAGGGTGTGGTGGCACGCCGAGGTGCGGGTTTGCGCCGCGTCACCCACTTGCGCCCAATAAGGCTGTCATGCCAGCTTATGACCTGGCAAAATTCTATTTCATGTACTACTGTTTCTTTTGCCAGTTAGTTCAAGAACGTCAGTTGCAAGATGAACACAGCCCTTTTATAGGGCATCCCACTCAGTTCGTACTCTCCCTCTCGCGTGCTTGTTACGGTCATATCTACAACGATTTATTCATCTTACGACTTTGGAACGGACCGATTCCTAAGACCAGAACGGTTCGATGTTGATCCGAGTCCTCCAGACACTTCTAAACAGTGAAGTCATTGGTTTCGCTCTTTCAAAGTTTCTTGTTCACGATCGAAGGCCCTAAACCGGATAAATTAAACGTATTAGCTAACTACGTATCCCCGACAGTCTGGGAATGCATTAATAAATGCTCTAGTTACTAAGAGGCTGTTCAATTGCTGCGACTGTTGTAGCTAGGACCGTCGCAAGCACACGAGGAGAGGGCGAACAAATACGGATGCAAGAATCAGAACGAGAATACCCCCATAATGGAGCTTTATTCATCTTACAATTGACGTACTGAAACTAAAACGAAGAATGGGACGGTAGTTGAGAGGATAAAATTTATCCAGGGGCTCATATTAGCACGACAATCACCCCGGCCAACAAATAGAGGGATCGAGGCGTCGAGAACCGGAGGAAAAGGTTCGCATTTCGCTAAGTTCAGGCTTCTCTGTTATGAAAGCAGTCTGTATGAACACGTTGTTGGCGGATCAATGTTTCTGGGCTATGCATACGGACATTGTCCGCGCTAGGTACACTAACAGGTGTTGCACCATTCCGTTCGTCAGTCGAAGAGGTGCTACTTTCTTGCTCGGTAATAAGTGGGTGATCAGGGGGAAAGTGGGAAGAAATTTTCTGGTACAGGCGTTGCCGTCTCCTGGTGACAATCACCAACATCTTTTTCACCGTTGGGAGCAAGTAGTCGAACGGATAAGTTCCTTCTCTGCCATTATTGAATCGTATATGAGCATATTGGGGTTTACTTTGGAGCAGTCGACCTCTTCAACGAGCAGACCAAACGGACTGTGGTTGACCTCCTATTGTAGGCAAACATTCTCTCATGAGGCGTTTCATTATTGGCGGTACATAAAAGTGATCTGATTGAGTGTAAAGCGTCAAGTAAGACGGATTCCCAGTGTGTGACGGGCAAACTTTGAGATTTTAAAGCAAGTAAGGCAGTCTTCCATTAAGTTTGGTTCAAACGTCCGACCTGCCCATTGCCTTGGGGATTGTACGGAGTTGTTCTACTTGTCGCCACTCCCTTACTGCGAAGCAATTGCTGAACTTCGTTTGACATAAATGACGATTCCCGATTGGTGTGTAGGTACGAAGGAGTGCGGAATATAGAGAAGAGCTGGCACAAACATTTAATAAAAGTTTCCACAGTCTGATCAGGACGGGCAAATGCAAACGGGAAACGAGAATATTCATCAATAATCGTAAGTAGATAGCGGTTGTGGGTTGCCGACGGAAGAGGACCTTTGAAGTCGAGTGATAATCGTTCGAACAGTTGAATGGCTTTGACGAGTTGGCCTTGTGTGTTGAAGAAACGGGTTTTGACTTCACAAGAGGCCTGACATTTAGCGACATCATTACGAATCTCGTCAATTGAAAAAGGGGGATTCCGAGATCGAATACAATGCTACGGACCCTGCTACAGCAACCGCCCCCGGTCTTCTTGACTTTGCATTAACACCTGACCTAGGTGGGAGAGGAGGGAATGTGGTAACTACGTTGCAGGTCTACTATCACTACAAACGAACTCATACGCAAGTCAGCGTCCCTGCTCGCATCCCGCTGCAGGGCAAACGGTGGACATCGTGGGAGACGACAGCCGTATTGTCATCTATGTGAGACCAGAGACGCTTTTTGAAGCCTGATTCGTGTGGACGAAGGCACCAAAGCACGTGTGGTGGCCGTGGCGTCATCCCTGTCAGCCGCTGCGCCCACGCTCATTTTCTCTCCCCTTGATCCAATCTTTTCGTTAGAACATAATGAGTATGAAATAGTATTAGTTAGGTACAAAATAATACACTTCATCATGAGCAGCACGGGACAGCACCAGCACATGTGTTATTCTCGTTGTTTACGATGGATTAACTTATTGTTGGCTGTTTCGGAATTACTTTCTTTGTAATTTCGGTGACTCACAATTCTTGTTTTCTATAGCAGATAGTTCATTTGTGTCACCCGGAGCATTTTCGAGATTCCAATGGACTTAACCGACGAAGAGCTAAGGACTGAACTTTCAAAATATATGACAACGGTTCCGCCAGTCACAGGTATTATCAACTGCTCCAGTTACACTTTTCAGCTACCACGCGCATCCTTCTCTTTAATAAACTACAGAAGTTTTTGGAGACGGACGTAAATGGTAAGTTCAGTTAGTGGTCACTGTAAATTACCTATGACTTTCCCAGGTGTAGACGAAAGGTAACGTCCAGTCCTTTCCAGTAACTCAGATAGTATTGAACCTCCAGTGATCGTTGACTCGCCACGGAAGCGCACTTCGGGCTTCGCGAGCTCCAGGTTCGTCCTAAGTGTCAAGCCTTTTTGTCACATTCACATTATATACGTCTTGGTTGCTATCTGGAAGCTTAATAACTGGTTTGAGAGCAAGGCAGCCCAACTGTTGCACTATGAAACGATTCGAAAGGGCGGGCTAGATGTAGAGCCAGACATGTAATTAAAAAGTAAATGTGGTTTGGGTGGTTTACAGAGACCGCTGACTGCAGTAATTCAGTAGTATTCAGAACTGTAAGTGCATTATGACATCCTAGTGCTCGTCTCTCTCGGTGGGCGAGGCTTTCCAGTAGTGCTTGTGTCACTCCATTTTCCCCTTATAGACAAGGCTTGATCCGCAACACGTTGGCTTACCACCAGTCTTGAGGCCATTATAGGTCATGGGGTTGATTATGTGGCTAATTATTCGTCCACAAGGTTGTTTGTAGAGCTCGTTAATTTTGCCCTCCCAAGCCACTTGATCTTTCCTGAAGTGCAACACTTTTCTTCTTAAATGGCCGGTTCTTCTCTGACAATCGGACCGATATTTTTATTCTAGTATTTGTGCTGTTTTTTCATTTGTTGCCTTAAGGATTTCTACTTCTAAAGAAAGGCCTATAGTGCAGGAGACATCGGCCTCAGTTGCAACTTTCACATCGTCTACCAGTTCTCAGCGGTCTGCCTCACCGAAGAAAAAGGAATTAACTACTGCTGGCGGCAAGGGCGATGTAATTTCCCCGAGTAACTCTTCAAATTCCTCCTTGTTTGAGACTGAGAATTACCGCGTCCGTCGTTTTCCCGCTACCGAGATGCCCGAATATCCTGGCGGTATTCCAGTTTTCCGCCGACGCTCGTTGCATCCTTCAGCGAGTGAGCTGCCTGACCCCTATGAAGAGATCATAATACGCTCGCCCAAAATACAAGCACAAATAGACGCCCAAAGAATAATGTCAAGAGCCATGCAACGTACCTATGGACATGTTTCTTTAAGAAGTTCCCGGTCTCGTTTTCACGGCCTGGCCTCCTTATGCAATGCTTGCACCCGTGGGGTTATAAGCTTGCTGAGTTTAGTACTACTGCCATTCTCATTGGCCTTCAAAATGCTGGGTTAGTTTGTATTTTGATAATGTTTACTTCCAAATTCTTTTCATGATTGCCTTCGTTCAAAGTCACGTCTCCAAAGCAGCATTTGTATTTTTTTTTACTACGCAAAGCATTCATTGCTAGATTTCATGTTCTTCACATATAAGTGAAGTTCTCCACAACCTGATTCAAGTCTTAGATGACCGAGGTTGGCTATCTTAGTTGTAACAGCTTATCTCGTTAATAATGCTGATGGTTAGAAGACTGCGTCCCATCTTGTGTAGTAGTGGCGGTGGCGGATTGCTATCATTACAATACTTTAATAGAGAGGCGGTCACCGACAGAACAGTTAATGATAACGTCTACCCCCTCTAATAGGGCTAATTTGCGAAGAGAAGCAAAGAAATTCCGCATATTGTTTGCGTAATGCCTTGTTCTTGAAATCGATGGTCAGCCAAAAATCTGACAGTTAGGCGTCAACCGCCAACGCGTCCTGGACGCCAGCGTGTCGTTCTGGTTTGGAAGGATCGGCCCCCACTACCTGTGTAACATTCTCACGTGTCAAATATATTCAGAATTTTTCCCCAAACAACGGAGAATTCTCGGCTTCAGTTGCCTATTTTCCGGTAAATTTTTCCGCACTACGTATACTGCTTCCTTTTCTCTTTCTCAGGTCGTCTGCCTGCGCCCAACTTACGTTGTATCCTCCTAGTTTTTCTACTTTGCATTATCTCCGGCCTTGCGCTCTTGTTCTTCTACTCAGACCCGTTTTACCATAACCCGGTGGCCGATTTCGCAGCCCAGATAGCGAACTCGATTTCTGAGAGGCAGCCGTAATGCATCCGTGTCCGCAGCAATTTTGTACTTATTGTTTGCGAATTCAAAAAAAGCATTTTTACGTTCTTATCGTGGCCTTTTTACCCCCAACTGACCTTAATCCATACAGTTTTGAAACGGGGTTTTCGACTTGAGGACCTTGCCCTCGGCAGTTTCGGCTGCTTTCAGGAGGGTTTTTGTATGACAACTTGCTGCTATTTCGAGGTCTGAAAACACATTCCAGGCATAAAGTCGAGCTCCTGCGATCCCTATACCTAGTCCTTTGCCCGGACTGCCGAATTACGGGACACCGTATGCTGTAGACTGCTACGGCGTATGCTGAGGCGGAAGTCACCCGCAGCCAGGTCAGCATTTTGGAGGGTAACTGATTGGATCCGCTTACCTGATGAACAAGGAAGGACTGTCCATCCTCTACTATCCTATTTACCAGACTCTTCCCTAACTGGGACTTCAAAGCACTGCATATTCTGCAAATATCACGGGCCGCTAGTGCCAGTGGGGGTCGATATCTGCTTCTTCTGCAGGTATTCGTAACCTGAACTACTGAGGACGTCACCGACCTCTCGGTGCCAGGTTGTCTACAAGATGCCTCCTGAGTGTGCATTCTTAAGTGTCACTTGTTTCTTCGTGCAATCAACCTGAATATTTCATAGTACAGATCATTTTGGTGGCAGTAATTGCCGACAGGACCACCCATCAAGTTTCGGGAGGGCACTTTATATCAGCTGCCGAGGATCGTATAATAATACCCCGAGACAGCGCGTGTATTGCGGTCTGAGCTGGCCTTAGTAATTGTTATTTTTCTCGGGGTTCATCCTCGAACCGACGGATCAAGCACCCTGGAAAACTGACTACCACACGGCCTACTAGGTTTCTTGACCATAACAGATGTACTAACTCGGACGGTTCTCAGCGCTGAGACCGTACAACAGTTCACCTTAGGGTCAGTGCGATGTGCTGCTGCGGTATAGATGACAGTGGGCTTCCACCGCCTCGCAACCGTGAGTTACTCCAAACTGGCGGTGGTGTTCCACGCCCCAAACTGGGTCCACCATCCGGTGCCAGTTCAGTCTGTTTTTGCCGGTTGATCGGCGTATTACCGTCCAAGTTCCAACATCGAGAGTACCGACCTTGTTGGGAGAAATTGGATCTGACCGTCCGAGCAGCATAGAGAACCCCTGGGCAGCGCAGCAGTCAGGAGCTCGGTAAGATTGATGGGTTGTCCCTTGCTCTCGTGGTCCGAACACTGTACTGTCCTTAGGCCAGTGTGGAAAAGAAGCCAGCAGGAGCTTCTTGCGTCATCGGAAGTGGGGGATTTCAAGATTTGATAAGTCACTAGTATTGGTTTTGTTCTGTCCTGATTGACCGCTCGGACAGCATGTTGGTCGGATCCTGTGTTTCGAGTACATTTGACTTCGTCGATTAGCTGAATGGCTTGCGACTCCAGCCCGCCACGAACTAGGCGAGCAATCAAGGCTCCGGCGATCGGAACTAAGCAGAAAAGAACTGCCCACTGTACTTTTCGAGCAGACCTGTGGTCAGCCTGAGCGATAGTCCCGGTTTCATTTGAGTGCCGGGTCGACAGGTCGTAGTTTGAAAAAATGCAACTGAACATGAGCAAGCCGCCGCCCTAAGGAAAATAAACACGGTGCTAGCTCTTCACCCATGGCGAACTTGCCGTCGCGGACATTTAATATCAGTAAGTCCTGCCTTTCAGCATGTTGACGTCGCCCTCAAATTTCTACTAGAGTAGTGGTATTCCATGCACTCAGCTGTTTTATTGCCTTCTTAGAACGTTTCGAGGGATATGGGGGATGAAGCTTCTCGAAAGCAGTGACGGGCCACTATTTTCATCGGCGGTGATCCTCCGTTCGCTGGTATTTCAACCGTTACACCTTCCAACTTATTAGCGAGGAGCCATTCGACGGTTACCCAACGCGATATTTACGGCGACACAAGTTTCTGCAGTGATAAGATTTCGATGCATCAACTATTTGGAGCATCGCTGCCACAGCTTCAAGGTACCTACAAAAGCTTAGATTCTCATGACGGTTCGCGACACCAAAGAGTGCATCCCATCGAATAGCGCGTCAGTCCCTTTTGGACTAGCATAAATTCGCCAGGACACGAGTGAAAGGGAAGAGGTGAATTTGCCTCGACCCAGATATGGCTTCTGCAAGAGATCAGTGGCCCGATGAACAAACTAGCAGACCAAAGAAACCAAGCAACATTAACAAAAAACTGCAATGCCAACCACGAAGGGCATACAGCGTGTTCCCTTGCTACGTATGCACGTCTGACTACTTGGTTAGGCGTAACTCGGAGTGCCCACGACCATGATTTTGTGAACAAAAATGTGATCGTTTAATATCGGACCATATCTCTCCAGTAAGAGCCATTTAATGAGACGTCAAGGGGGAAATTCCAATAAGTAGCGTCCTGCAGCCGACAGTCGAACGAATACATCCCGCCTGTGAACCGTAGTCGCCAATAGTAGTATGCTTTCCTTCAAAAGGAGTCAAAGGTCCGGGTAATGGCCCGTTTCTTCAAGAGTGCAGAAGCCAACTGGTGTGCGCAGGAGAAATCCAGCCCTCAAAAGCAATATCGATTAGCTAAAGAGGCTACGAGACACTGGCTCAGCGGTCTGGCCTAACCACGCGAACCAGGGCTTTCAAGTCATTGACCAAGTGTCGAGTGTTTCCCGAAAAAAGACGGAGAGTCAAAGATGTTCATCTCTTTGTAGCTTGATGAGGTGTATAATGACCTGGAAGACCAAGAGCATCAAAAAATATCCGCAGCTTCTCTGAGGCCAGGTGTTGAGCGACAGAAGCTCCAGCCGAAAGTACTGTATGGAGGTAAGAATCGGGATTTGCAGTAAGAGAGGTGAGCTCATTGAAGCGTGCCTGGATTGGAGACAGTTCGCGAACTAACTCGTCTACTACTTTTGCCTTGAGATCAACTTTTGAAAGACGTGATAATTCCTCTGCGGCAGACTGAATGGACAAACCCTATTAGAAGAAATATGTAGGGGGGGAGGGGGGTAATAAATGTTAGCTTTCGGATTTTAATAAATTTAATTGTAAACAAATTCTCAAGGTTGCGAAAATTCCAATGGCAATAATCAGAAGACCAGTTGGCGAGCGTACGTTTGCTTTCGACAAATTCTCTTAATGCAGCTGTAGTATTTGATCGCCAAACATCGCAAATTCCAACATAAGATGCAGATAGACGAGGACACGGAAATACGAAATACTACGGGATCGGTGGGGAGACATGTGTAGTTGAGTCAGGCGCAGTGCCGACGAGTAGTTCTGCAAACGTAAGCCCTAGTGACCAGGGAAGAATCAGTATGTTGTGGCTGTGCGAAGTCCGCGCTAAACGAGCCACTGGACGCGGTTCCGTAAAAACGTCATTAAGAACGACGTTACGGTCATTCGAAAGATCTTAAATCGGTCGGCAAGGTTGCAGTAAGAGAGACCGGAGTTCGAAGAGGCATTCAATCGCATAGGTGCTGGCTGTCTGACGGCCAGAATCCCACAAGGCAATAGCCTTTACAGGTCCTCCGGGCTGTGGACATGACTGCGTTGACTTTAATAAAACCGCCCTCTCGAAGTGTCCACACGACTTTGTGTGCGTGACTAGGCACGCGACGCAGTTTCCTTTTGTGTCTTGTAGACTTGAAGTTGGTCGCTAGTCAGAACAATCGACTGCACGTGTCCTGGAGGCGGCGTTTGGAAGGAAATCCAATGGAAATACGGAGAATGCACAGAGCACACAAAAGTTAAATATTTGGTCTAATCAGTTTCGTCTAAATTCAATAGTCCTGGGATAGAGGTTTCTAACGTGCGCATTCTTTCCATAGTGAACTATTCACCAAACTCGGCTGCAAGGTAAACGAAAGAAGTCATTGCGGACTACCGGTAGCAATACTTACGTTACCGTACCGGAACTCACGTACCGACGGTCTGGGAGATTAACTTCGACAAGTTTTCTGTTGCTCACATAATTTTCGCGAATTCGTGCGAATAATCCGCACGCATAAGCAAGGATGGACAAAAAAGAAATTCAGGGTACTTATCAATCCAAAGGAACCAGCGGCTGCAGGTCAAAAACGTAGGCGAAATACCCTCGGGGGATGACGACAAACAAGCCAGGAGTTGTCACTCCTGTGTCACTTATTGTTGTTAACAATGTCTCTCGGGCGGAGGCTATAGATGCCAAAACTCGAATGGCCTTTTCAGAACGCCCTGACTTTGAATGTGTTTGAGATGTGCCAAATTAGAATGGTAAAGTGGGTTTCAAATGCATACGATGACAGGGAAACAGGTGGATAAGATGTGAATATTAGGGTGATACGAAACACTACTGACAAACCTTAAGGGCAGAGTAAAGTTGGATGAGGTTTGCGATACCCGGTCGAGCCACAGGATCGTACGAGACACCACGAAGTGAGTCCGTCTGAGCCCGACCAATTTTCTGACGGATGATGTCTGGGGTGTCGGTCAGCCAAATGGTTCCAGCTTCGGGACCCTGTGATTTGCTCATCTTCTTACTCGGGTCGCGGAGGTTAAAAACCTTCAAATGGGACAGAACAACAGGTAAAATATCACAACGGTCGACCCCCTCCCACCAAAAGATGTTCCCATGAAACGCACTGGTTGCCGGCTTCCTTTGACACCAAGTTACATTCGGCAAAATAGCTGCGGCAGAGAAGGAGAACGCTAGGAATCACAGAAAGACGGCACTCCGCTACGGAAGGCCCGGAGTGCCCACCAATGGCCCTACGTGAAGACTACCTACGAAACAAACAGGCTCAAGGATCTGACGAGTGGGTAGTCGCTGGTTATTTAGCCTCAATATTGTTGAACGAGGCTGGGCGCCGATCTGGGTAATTATTTATCTATAGAAGATTGCCCAGGCCATAGCGGTAGTACAACATGACTCGGTTTGTCCGCCATTCAACAAGGCGTCACCCGTCGCTGTCCGGTACAATCTTGGGACGGAGGGACGAGCTTCGACGCCGACTGTTTAGTCTCAGGACTGAAGTAAGCTATCCTTCTATTGAGTTGTCCTCCAGGCTACGACCCAGTTGAGTTTCTTGGATGACCTAAGAACTGGGACTTGCACTATCCAGCTGACACCTGCGAGAGTTAATCATGCCTGGAAGGGCGACCTACTCAAAATAGACAATGCCCACCTAGATTACCGTCACGCACAGGGATAGTTTTCTGCCAAATAATAACTAGCGGAAACCTTATAGACCGGTACTCCGGCATTATCTACAATCAGCCGCAACTAAAGCGTCTGAACACTACTGCGTTAATAATATATTCATTCGCCCTGTCATGGACAAACACTCACCCGGTAGGCGCTCCAGAGCAAACTAGTGGCTCAGTGGTTTGTGTCCGGTCCTAAATACTGGTTTATGGGTAAGGTTGGCTGAGGAAGACACAAGCAAGCCTCGAGGAGTAACTGTGGAACTTTCCCCACTATTGGTCAACCTCTTATATAACTAAGTCGTCTACGGGTACCGGTTTTCCCGAAAAATTGGCAATTGGAAACGGTCACGTTCGTCCTCGTCCCTTAGAGATCACGTCAAAGTTACTATACCAGTACCGACAGTGGAAATGGGGTGGCTGTTTATATCCATGGATTTGGTAGTGAATCAAGCTCAGATGATCTATCGACTGGGTTACCAGCGTTCAAGAACCCTGGTCAAAAAGACATTAGTCGATGCTCCGTTCGTTGGCGATGACCAGGGTAATGGTCAACCATAATAGTCATGACAGGATGAAGGACGACTTCAACATCAAAGTGTTTAAAATCGACGCACATGTTCACCTAGAGTGGATAGTCGATGCAAAAAACATTTGTCAAGCGCCACGACAAGTCAAAAAACGTATCCAAACAGTAGAACCCAGACATTATACTGTCAGAAACGACCAAACACTGGTAAACACACACAAACAATTAGACGTTTCGGAGACGGTAAGGTATAAAATAGGACAAGAGAAAAGCACAGGACACGACAATCCACTTGCCTTCGGGACTTCATTGAGAAGGATCCGTGGAATGCGCACATGCTGCGCAAGACAGGGCCACCGAGCAACAACACCCCGTGCCAAATCTCGAGTAAGCTCCAGGTGGCCGACTTGATCCACGCCGACAGGTACCAGGTCTGCGTCGTAGAGAAGGATGTCTGCAGCCTGCAGAACAGGGTATGTGAAGAGACCGACAGAAGCCGTAGGATTACCGGTGTTCGAAAATCCAGCAGCCGTTGCGTTGGAAGAGTTTGGGTCGGCATGACAGGCTGCCGCAGCAGATTTTTCACGCCACTGAGGCAGGTGGGCCAGACGCTAGGGCATAAATAACCAGGAAAAACGACTCAGATTGAGAAGTGAAGAAAGCTCATACACTGAGAGAAACTCGTGAAGGTGTACAACCTCGCCCTCCCGTATAACCTGAAAAGAGACTCATGTGAAATTTTTCCGGCATAGATTATTACATTCATTAGCATTTGAGGCACCATAGGTGGCGTTACGTATTAAGGGGACTAGGAGCTTCGTCACCGGTAATTCTGGTGGAGGGTAATTTCCCATAAAATCCTTTTGGAGTTTATTCATATTTGGATGCAGCCCTGCGCTGTTGGGGGACGGACTTGCACTTTGCCCGAATGTAAACTAAGGTATTGCCGACGGTTTGGAAAAAATTTCAAGAACAGTTAGTTGTGGAAAGCGCCTACACTAAGAGGTCAGAGAACTGTTGGGACCTTTAAAAGCCACAAAGCCACACTAAATGGAAGCTACTTGGGAGGGATTAACTTAACTGGTATGTCCTAAAGCTCTATCATTGGATTTTCGCTTCCATATAATGTCACATCAAGTTACACTGCAGCGACATGCCATCATTTTGGCTTTAAGGGCTTTTTCAAGTCACCGCCAGCGAGTGATCAGATCCGTCCCCCACTACACAATAATTTTTTTCGATTAGGGCGGCTGGAGTTACTTGCGCGTCTTACATAACGTTTTACATTAGTTTGTCCGAGCTACTGCTTATGCTAAACAGTGTCGAGATAATTAAGACATACATTTACTGAGCACGTAGAGGCTAAAAGCCATGACAGCACGCAGTGGCCGGGAACAGAAGACTGTAGGAAGAGAACGGGTTTTTTGATTTGAGAAGAGGTGATGTTTTCCACAGGATCTATGCCACAGGATAAAAGCGCAGCTACCAGGTGTATGATGGCAGCATTCAGTTGGGAAGGTGGTTGATGACAGGTGAGGGCATGCAAGTCAGCAATGAGGATAATCATTCGTGAGATCGAATCGGATGATTGTAGCTTTACGACAGGCTTTATCATGCCCAGATAGTTGCCCAGATGGGGTATACCAGTGGGCTGGATGCCAGTAACCACTACTTCACTGCGTTGTTGGGCCGTGGTGAGGATGCCCGTGCGGGACGGGTATTGGGCAAGGTGAGTGTGGCATTTCGGCGTCAAGCCACGTAGGATTCGGAGCTAAAAAGGAAGACAAAACACGTCAAGGCCGATGCAATAAACTTCAAGACGTGGCAGTGATGACGAGTCGAGTCTTAAATGCTAAAGTAATATAACAGTAGAATTTGAAATAGAGGAAAGAAACCAAACAGTTCATTTACTGAAGACGACGATGTGATCACTGGAACAAGAAATCTCTTAGCCTGACGTTTCGGATTCTCACTCGAATCCATCATCAGATACAGTCGCAGGTAAGGAACGTTTATTTCGAGTCGCTTTCGATTCCTTAAAAAGGCTGCAGAAGTGTAAGCTACGCCCAGAGAAGTCTAAACTGATGCATAACATTTGAGGGAATATACAGCCCTCAAATAGCCATGAGTGGCACGTCAAAGGCGGTTGGCGTATCCGAGAAAAAATGAGGAACCGAACCTGTGGGTTAACCGGCACGGCCGGATATCCGACGGTGGCATCATGTAAATTGGATGGAGGCGTTTGCCAACAAAGGAACTTGGCAGTCAACAGAACGGATGGGTGCCACTGAGCAAGGTGTCGCTGCCCTGCGAACAGGAAACTTTTGCAGGGCTTGCCTCAGATTAGCGTTAAGTTGCAAGCACCGAGTGACTCTAACAGGTAGGATGTATGCTTGCAAAACAAAGCACATGAGGTTTGATAGCCATATAACCAATCTACGCGGACGACCATTCGAAGCCAGCGCCCATGTGCTTGTCTTCCGGAGGACCCGAACGGAAATTCCGCCGACGGTATGGCTTGCTATGCATAAAGGGTTTTCAGACGCGACCGAGCGAGTTGATGAGGGACACGATTACGAGAAAAAGGGCAATCCGACATACTGTACTGCATCCCATCCCTAAAAATCCTTTCAGTTAGACAGATCAGACAGAATACTAGCTCAGATTAGAGATACGGAAGACAGACTGATTGTACAGAGGTGAAATGGAGTATTGCAAGTGGCTGTTAGTACCTTCGAAAGGGGTTATGAATTCATGTTCCAATTCGCCGAGACAATTACTTAAGAAAGAAACGGGCTAACTGGGGGGGGGGGGGTTTGAGTGCAGTTGGAGCCGCTGATGAAAACCCGGCTAGCTGGCATGTTAATCCGATGCCAGCATATGGGGTCCTGTACTGTCATTTCCAGACTTGGAGCATTTGTAAGGAATTGGTTCAAGTAAAGTTAATTATTCTGTAGCTTCTGTCATCTCTAGTGATATATGTATTCCTGGATGAGTTCGCAAAAATAAGCAAATGGCTCCGATGGTCGATCAGTCACCTTCTTCCTCACTTGAGTCTTCACAAACTTACGTCTAAAATTTAGGTCAAGGGTCTACTGGATTTCGGTAAACTGACATCTGTTATCAGAATAGCAAACTCAAATTCAAGGAAATAATCAAATCAGCACTCAACGACAGTGGCACATGCCTTAACAGGCTCATCGGCAAGTTGACGCGCGCCTTTGGTGGGCAGTCAATGTATATCCTTTGTCACGACAGTGTCATCAGCCCTTCTGCACAGAATTAATTCTACTGGTGTCATCGGCCTGAGTCTACTAGTCGGGACTAGGCCATGGCCGCAAGCTCGTCAGCGTCAGTGAAAACGTGACGTTGAAGGTAGGGCATTTCAATGGATGAGTGACGGATGTAACCGAACCACCTCGGCCGAAGGGATGATTGCAATTTTACCGCATCAAGTGCTGACTGGTTCGCTTGAAGCGATGCCTATACACTTCATTTCTGAAATAGTCTCCAAAAGCACGATCGGTGTGGTACTCCGGTTTCCACGTTTAAATGTGTCACACACGACCTGATCTCCACTCTATACTAGACATCAACGGATCGACTCACTCAACAGAAAGAAATCTAGCGGCTAGACGGGTTCCCAATTAATGTGCTTCAAAGAAGTCATGAAATCGCCTATTTAAGCGTCATCATGCATCTAAAAAAATTCCTCATTCGGCACTATTAGTCTAAAACAGTAATCAGTGCCTGAGAGCTGTTATCGCCCTGATACGATTGCACTGGCGTCAATAAGGCGAAAATAAAAGGGTGAGATTCGACAAGTAAAGCGGTGCGGAAGCTCTTAGTGGACTAGCCAGTCATAAGATTCGTTATTTAAACTCCACTTTTTTAATTGGATATAGAAAGGACTCTTAGGGAGAAGCCGGGGTGAAATTATCAAACATTTATAGGGGAAAGGTCAAGGCTCTTTAACAGAGAACAAGTCATCGATTCTATTAAGGATAAATAACAAAATACGAAGTATTTGGTCCCGGCTGATGTGCTTCGGTTAGTCAGAGATAAAAGACACGTGAAACACCAGCTCTTTCTGTGATCCATCTTTTAGTCGACACTAACTAGGAGAGCGAGATGTCAGGAGCGTCATAAGTCGGCTATTACCTATGGAATAGAAAACCTGAGAATATAAAACGCACGGTAAAATGAGTGGCGTCCTCATTAAAAAAGTGCCAGAAGCGTCTTAAATGCAAGCTGGTAATCATAAACAATGTGATTATTTAGTTGAACAACATGAAAGAGGCAGACAAGGGAATGTTGTGGAACTAGTATGGGCTGTACTCCGAATCGATATTGATGGCAGAGAAGGTGCGCTTGTGCAGTTTCAAGCTGGTTATAAAAACCCGTCATAAGAGGAGAAAGAGGTGAGACGTGGAATTATCACGCTGGAAGGTGAGGGACAGTGGGGTCACACAAACAGCGCGCACGTCATCAGTTTTGCAAAAGAACTATCTTAGATGTCAGAGACGGCGCGCTGTATCTGATTGAGTGGATTAATGATGCAGCGAAAATTATACACCGCCTCACATGTCAGGGACCCCGAAAGGCGCTATATGACAATGGAACCATTTTGGTATATACATCTTTCACAAGTCAAAAGCCTCCTTGAACATAGCATTGCAATGAGTAAAAATTTAATTCAAGACGTAACATGAGCATCTAAATCACGATTAAGTATTTGGAATTTCACAGAGTCATCATCCACTATTCCGCCTCCATGAACGGCAGAAGTACATCACCCGTCCCTTCACTTGAATCTGCGTACTCCTCCCCCGATCGTGCACCCGGTCCTACGGTCTACGTTTCGCTCACTTTTTCGTGTAAAACTTTCCCTCATTCCATGCTAATTTTCGTCTAAAGGCGGGTCGTGGAAAATTCACAGGCACAACTTAATAGTTCCGAAGGACCTTCAGTCCTTTCAGTAGTAAAAATACATGCAAAGGAGGGAACACACACCGAAAACAGCCCTTAACAATCTGATGTACAACGTCTAAATGTCTGGATCGGGATTAGATGAAGTCCTTGTGATTGGCCTAATTACTTCATTTATTCGCTTACCGGTCGCTGTCCATCAGTCGCGCTGACCTGGCGCGTAAAACTGGATCTAAGCTCTGTCTCGACGTAAATTTAAAATGGCAGAAATGGTAGACAAAGCGGCGATGTACAAAAAGTGCAGAATAAGAGAAACAAATAAGTGCATAAGACACAATGAAGTCAGATAAAAATGATACTACGTAACAGAAGCCATTAGTGTCATTAATGATAAAAAGAAAACATCATAAATACGTCACTTAAGAAAGCGTGGCAAATGCGTTAAATAAAAATATATAAATATATGTGCTGCCCGTTGACTTGGAAGAACCTGGACAATAGACTTGAAACGATGTGAAATTTGGCCTGAAATCAACAAAACGCGAAGTTCTCCGTTACAGACTTCTATAACTCGTCTACAGAGCTATTAGTTTGTAAAATTCACTAACGCGTGAAATTCACCATGTCAATCCAAAAGCTTGGCCAAGCTACTGAATTATTAAAACTACCGAGGATGCCAATGTGCGTGAAGATCGCGCTCATTTTAGCTACATGAATATAGTGAGGTTTATTGCAAAAAGTAATTTTCCAGTTGAAATCAAAACTGAACGAGATATTGGGCTTAGTAAGGGTTTTCGAAGGTGGTTGTGTGCAGATTTGCAAACGAAGCAGCAGATAAACTTTATGGAGTGCCACAGAAAATGTAGTATCAAGGTCTACAATTTACAAATAATTCCACGAGACTCCGACTTTCGGTTTTTATGAAAAGTTTGCATTTTTCGTCGTCCTTGTCTTACACCTCATTGCTCAGTTATAATGAGCTTTACTGTTTTCGTGTCAAATTTATGTCAGCTTATTTAAGATGTCTATATTTTTATTAATTAATTAATCTGCATACAATGAGAGACATTTACAGTGTCTTCCTGATTTATGCGTGACTGACGATAAAAATGACGACACTTTTACCCAGTGCAGTAGTCTGGTCATTTATGTCATGTTAAGGCCACCGAATTCAGTGTTTTATAGATATATTTTGTGACAGGTTGGAAAATCCACTTCGGCTTTAGCTCCCGAGCAAGCATATTTGATCTGGAGAGGCATATAAGTAAAATCGACTGACATGATAGCGAGGAAGGTTACTTGCATCCTCTGTTAAGCAGCTGAGTAAGTCAACTAAGTATTCTGTCGTCCGATATGGCCCCAAAACATGGGACGTAGCTTTTTCACTAGAGGGATAACGACTATTTAGTTATGCACAAGAAAGGGAAACTCTATTCGGATTAACCTTAGCTGGTCATCTTGTGATCATTTTTCGGACGAAAAGTGTCCCCACGCGACCTGCTCCAATATACTGAAATTGTAACCCGGTCAAGATCGACTTATTTATATGCTCGTGAATGAACGCAATCCGTATCTTAAACAACTTTTTGTTAGGGGAAACTGTAACGCTGACTTGTTTGACCTATGATAAGCCGCCAA